GGCCCACGGCGCAGCTTCAAGTTCCTACTTCGCCAACATGGAGATACTTAGGAGAATCAGAGGTTAGATTGCATGTAATTGCTAGATACATGCGTACTGATTGATATTCTAGAATACACCCAAGGCTACTTCAAGTTGTCAGTCATACGTTTCTGAAGCCAGCCGCCAGTGTTCGATTTCAACCAGCCCGGCACGGGACCTTCCGCCCTGTTTCCAAAGAGTGAGACACGCGAGGGGAAATGTTTAGAACATCTCGGTGTGCTATAGTTGTTTGATACACTGGTATGAGCCTGACATTGCTCACACCCACACTACAGGGCCTCTGTTGATCCTGTCGGCTGGGATAGACAGACAGGGCTCGGAGGCGTAGCTCAAGCTCGGATTGTACTGGAGGAGCAAATAGAAGATCATCTTAAGCGCATAGTACTGGTGATAAAGCGTGAACTCAATACGCTTACCCCCATCAGACGTCTACCTACCGAGCTCCTTGTCGACATCTTCATGAGGCGGCTCTCGGGCGAAAAGGCAGCAAGACACAAAGCGTGCATACATCGCGACTATGTCCCACTCAGATGCGGGGATGCAAGGATATCGATTTTGCATGTATGCCACCAGTGTCGAGCTATCTGCCTGGGTGCCCCGCGTCTCTGGCGCGATGTCATGACCAACTTTTCAGAGGAGTGGATGCGAGAAGTCTTATCTAGATCTGGTAATATCCCGTTGGCGGTCCTCACCTATGGACAAGATTTGGCCCGCTGGAGTAAGACCGTCCAACTCGCACTCAACGAGCTTCCACGGACAGGATCACTGACGTTCTTCCGCTCAGATTTTGAATACCGCATGCTGACTTCCACTGCCCCTGTCCTCGAGTCCCTCACTTTCTATCAGACTGAATACGATCTTCCCCGCAATTTGGACTTATCCCGCCTGGCTCGTCTGAACCTTTATCGATGTAAATTCGCCTGGGAGCACCCCATTCTCGCGTCGAGCTTGGTACATCTGGACATCCGCTGTAATGCCCCCTACCTGCTACATCCACACCCTTCTCAACATGCCATTATTACAGTCCCTTCGCCTCCAGGATGCGCTTCCTCTTCCTCCTGCTCCGTTAGCACCCCTCAGCTTGAGCCAACGCGTTACGCTTCCCGAGCTGCGCCGGTTGACGTTAGGAGATACTGCGGCAGTGGTTGCATCCTTCCTCTACCACATCTCGTTCCCCTCCGAGTGCTCTTGCTCAAGGCAGTCCGCATGCGGATTATTCACGAGGATCCGAAGTGTCAGATTGACATGGAGGGGCTGTCAGCGTTTGGTGTAATGCTCGCCGAGCGAGAGGAGAAAGGCCACTTGCTGGAGCGGCTAATCCTCAATGAGTGTTTCAACCTGACAGAGAAGGATGTTCGAGAACTCCAAGATGTCGTGAGCAGTATTAGTGTAGAATGGGATGGATGCTGCAACGATGACTCCTCCATGTAGAATAATATTCACCTTCACCTTTCTCGATTGATACTCTGCAAATTCACTCGGAGGAGCAAACCAGGCAAAGTCTTGCAGTTCATGAAGGTACTATCCGAGGCGTGAGGTAATCAGATACCACTGGCGCAGCTTGAGATGCCGATCTGAGCGTTCGCGTTTTTTCGTTCAAAGCTGCCACATTCGCGCCAACACTCAGTGTCACCAACCAAGGCAGAGCGCGGAGAGATATTCGGGAGGATAGTATCGGAGGTCAGTGCTTTCATATTTGCTGAAAATGCGCGTACTGATAAAACTCACCCGTCGGACGTCTCTGGCCAGCCATTGGTATTCGATTTCGACCAGCTCAAGATAGGCCGCATTTGCTCGGTTTGTAAGGGAAGAGAGGATGTTTGGGACGTCTAGGTAGCATACGCCTGTTTTCCAGTCTGGTCTGAGCCGGGCATTGCTTACACTCAACCTTCAGAACTTTTGTTGGCTCCGCAAACTGGGACAGGCGGACAGAACCCAAAGACGCAGCTCAAGCTCGAGGTTTACTGGAGAAGCGAATCGAAGATTGCCTCACGCGCATAATACAGACGAAGCGCGAGCTCAATACGCTTACGCCAATTGCACATCTGCCTAACGAGCTCCTTGTTGAGATCTTTATGTGGCGGCTCTTGGACACGGCGGCAGCAGATCGAGAGGCCTACATGAAGCGCGACCGAGCTCTTCCGAAGCGTAAGGACACAAGTATGTCTATATCACAGGTATGCCATCAGTGGCGCGCCATCTGCCTGAGTACTCCGCTGCTTTGGTACCAGGTCTCAACCGACTTCCCGGAAAAGTGGATGCGCGAAGCCTTGTCAAGGTCTGGCGAAGTGCTATTGGAAGTGCTGATTAACAACCAAGAAGGAACTCTCGGGCGTAATATCATTTGGCTCGCACTCGATGAGCTGCCACGGATCAAGTCTCTGACATGGTTTCGAGTCTCGGACTTTGAGAAGCCCGAGGACAACTTGCCGACCCCTACTCTCCCTTTCCTTGAGTCTCTTGCGTTCTACAATACCACAAATGATCTTCCCCGTGGTCTGAAATTACCCCGCCTGACCCGTTTGGTAGCTCACAATTGCAGTCGCTTCACCTGGGACCACCCCATCCTCGTGCCGAGTTTGGCGCATCTGGATATCTCCGGTAGCCCTAACTGCGATCTTGCCCACATCCTTCGCGCCCTTCGCGGCATGCCGTTGTTACAGTCCCTACGCCTCGCGACCGTCGTCCCCCATCCTTTTGCTCCGCCGGCCCCCCTCTGTTCGAGCCAACGCATCGCACTTCCTGAACTACGACGGCTAATATTGGTGGATGACCTGAGCCAGGTCACATCCTTCATCTACCACGTCTCTCTCCCAGTGACCGCGTCTCTATACATTAAACCAAAAACAGAGCGTCCCTCTCGGTGGTTCTCTAAATACCTGTCTCCTGCTATCAGAGACAGATACGAGGCCGTTCTGAACACGACAACATGCAACATTTCGCACCCACTGCAGTCCATACACTACTCAAACACAGGTTACTGGAGGGCTTGGTCTGAAGTATATCCTGTGGAGTACCTCGACGAGATTGCCGCACGAGGGGACTGCGCGCCGGCTTTGCAGGTGTCCAATATACGCATACGGGTGGAAGAGGTAGCCGGCGATCTTACCGTTATCAACTCGATCTGCTCCGCTTTCCTGGAGAGGCACCGGATTACGAGTCTTTGTCTCGACCTTGGCGTAAGATCGTCGAGCCTGGGCGGGTGGGTCAAGCTGCTTGAAAACCTGCCGCGCCTCCGCGAACTTGCTATCATGCGGTATGGAGTTCGCGAGCTTGTCAGAGCTCTGTCTCACTCCACGCCACGCGCTACCGTCCTCCGTGACTCAGAAGCCTCTTCGTCCCTGGTTGTCCCGTCTCTCCAAGTGCTACTGCTCGAGGGGGCTGTCCGGCGGGTTTCCCAGGGTCCAGAGGTTGCTAGCGCTCTGTGCGATGCTCGCCGAGCGAGAAGAGAAGGGCTGCATGTTGGAGCGGCTGCTCCTCCGTAAATGTACCCTGACAGAGAAGAACATCCGAGAACTGCAAGATGTTGCGAAAAGCGTAAGAATGGGACGA